AGTTATCATCTGTAACCCCAGATTAGATGAAAGTAAATGTCACTCATATTATGTACCTGACCTTGTTGTAATTAATGGGTAGTGCCAAACAAAAGTCAACTATTTAACTGGGAATTAGTATTAACCTCATACTAATTATATTTAATAATTAATTATATTTAATAATTAACATGTGAAACAACCATTTATCACCTGGTTAAATATTCTGCAATGCTAACGTTTTGCTTGGTCCATCTAAATATCTTGTTTTCTTAAAATACATAATCTCCATCTGTGCCAACTCTATTGGAATATGGCTATTTGTACATACTTCCACAATGTTTCATTTACTATTAAACAGGAGGTATGAAATTCAGACCCTAAGGGTACATTTATTTATCTAATTCAGGATATCTGGATTCTAATCCTAGCAATGTGATTCAGTAGTCTGTGCCCTTCAACAAACAGTGCTCCAGTTTCACACCTTATTATATTTGGGGGCTGGAGTAAAGTTCCTTTAACTTCAAAATTCAATGATTCTGAAAGTTCTGAATAAATATTGATTTTCCCTATAGTCTTGCCATTGCAGTAAATATCCATTGAAATTCATTACTTAAATTTGCATAATTGATTATTATAACAATATAACATTTAGAAACTGTGGAAAAAGATGAAACATCATCATCCGTGATTTTAGGACCTAAATAGCCCAATCCAAAAATGACCATCTTTGTGGTTCCATTTTAATACATGTATAATTTATTTGGTGATGTATACAGATATGTTTGGGTCCCAATCAAAATAGTTTCCACTGATGATGCTCTCTGGCCATGTGCTAAATGCTTTGTGTATGTCAATTCATTTTATTCTCATGAGACTTTTTGGAGGATGTTGTATTTTTCCAATTTATTAAATGAAGATAATGAAGCTTATAGAGGTTAAATATTTTAAGCTTATATAGGTAGTTGGTGGTGAAGCTAATATGCACACTCGTGTGAATCTAATTTCAAAGCTCTTGCTTTTAACTAGTGTATACTGCCATCTCTGCTTTTTCGACTTAACCTAAGAGTTTTGTATTGCTTATATTTGCACAATTATTATTTTTCATATTCAGTAAGTAGATGAACTGTAACCTAAGTCAATAATCTTTTGCTTCTGGTTTGGGCTATTATACATAAAGTTATGAAAAAGTTGTTTATAAAGGTTTTTCCTTCATTTGGATTGTAGTCAACTGATAAAATCCCGGAAAGGGAATTGGTATGTCAAAAGATATGAATGCTTAATGACTTTTAATATACATTGCCAGAATATATCCTGAAAAGTTGTACTAATTCACATGGCACAAATTTATCCAGTATTGGATACATCAGAGCACATAGACATATGCTGAGTATGTTGAAAAATGGACATAACCTTATTAGATAGCTTTATTAGAAGTTTAATTTACAAAGCAAGTGTCCAAAGTTGTTCTTTTAGTTTCTTTATTTTGTCATTGAGATACACAAAAATTTCACTTTTCACTTAGTTCTCAGTTTGACAATCCTGTTCCTTGATGCATCTCTTTTGGTGGCAGACAAAAGGGTTTAGGCAGAGGAAAGATAGCAGAAGCCGTTGCTGAAGCATGGCATCTGAAGGTGGAGTGAGAGGAATGGAGGGGAAGAAAGGCTCAGCTGAAAATCAAAGGAATGAAGCATAGTCATAATCTATTTAGTGAAGCTTCCAAACCAAACCAAACTCACTGCTCTTGAGTCGGATTCGACTCATAGCGACCCCTCCTTGGGTTTCTGAGGTGGTATCACTAAGGAAGTAGATTGCCCCATCTTAGGGTGAGAAATATGACCAAAATATGACCTTGATTTTATCTCTCCTGAATTTAGAGACCATCTAAAGAATAGATTTGATGCATTAAACAATGACCAAACACCAGAAGAATTGTGGGATGACATCAAGAACATAATCCACGAAGAAAGCAAGAGGTCATTAAAAAGACAGGAAAGAAAGGACCAAAATGGATGTCAGAAGATACTCTGAAACTTGTCCTTGAACAGAGAGTAGCTAAAGCGAATGGAAGAAATGTCAAGATAAAAGAGCTGAACAGAAGATTTCAAAAAGCAGCTCGAGAAGAGAGTCAATTATTATAATGAAATGTACCAAGACTTGGAGTTAGAAAACCAAAAGAGAAGAACACACTCGGCATTTTTTAAGCTGAAAGAACTGAGGAAAAAATTTAAGCCTCAAATTGCAATATTGTAAGATTCCATGGGCATCTTATTATTATCATTACAGTGCAGGAAACATCAAAAGAAGATGGATGGAATACACAGAGTCACTATACCAAAAAGAACTGGTAGACGATCATCCATTTCAGGAGGTGGCATATGATCAAGAACCAATGGTATTGAAGGAAGAAGTCACAGCTGCACTGAAGAAATTGGCAAAGACAAGGCTCCAGGAATTGATGGAATATCCACTGAGATGTTTCAACAAACGGATGTCCCGCTGGAGGACTCACTCAGCTATGCCAAGAGATTTGGAAGACAGCTACTTGTGTAACTGACTAGAAGAGATCCATATATGTACCCATTCCAAAGAAAGGCGATCGCACAGAATGTGGAAATTATCAAACAATATCATTGATATCACACACAAGAAAAATCTTACTAAAGATAATTAAAAAATGGTTACAGCAGTATATTGACAGAGAACTTCCAGAAATGGAAGCTAGATTCAGAAGGGGATGTGGAGTGAGTGATATCATAGCTGATGTCAAATGGATCTTGGCTCAAAGCAAAGAATACTGGAAAGATGTTTACTTGTGTTTTACTGACTATGCAAAGGAATTCGATTGTGTGGATCATAACAAATTATGGATAACTTTGAGAAATGGGAATTCCAGAACACTTAATCGTACTCATGAAGAACCAGTACACAGACCAGGAGGCTGCTGTTTTTTAACACAACAAGGGAATACTGTATGGTTCAAAATCAGGGAGTGCATCAGGGTTGTATCCTTTCACCATACTTATTCAACTTGTATGCTATGCAAATAACCCAAGAAGCTGGACTATGTGAAGAAGAACATAGCATCAGGATTGGAGGAAGGCTTATTAACAACCTGCAATATGCAGATGACGCAACTTTGCTTGCTGAAAGTGAGATTGACTTAGAGCACTTACTGATGAAAATTAAAGAGTACAGTCTACAGTATAGATTACACCTCAACATAAAGAAAATAAAAATCCTCACAACTGGGCCAATAAGCAGCATCACGATAAATGGAGAAAAGATTGAAATTGTCAAACACTTCATAGTACTTGGTTCTATAATCAATGTCAATGGAAGCAGCAGTCAAGGCATCAAAAGATGTATTTCATTAGGCAAATCTGCTGCAAAAGACCTCTTTCAAGCGTGGAAGAGCAAAGATATTTCCCTGGACTAGGATGCACCTAACCCAAGCCATGGTATTTTCAATCACCTCATATGCATGTGTGAGCTGGACAATGAACAAGGAAGATCAAAGAGTTGATGCTTTTGAGTTGTATTCGCGAAGAATGCTGAAACTACCGTGGACTGCTAAAAAGACTGACAAATTTGTCCTGGAACAAGTGCAGCTGGAATGCTCCTTGGAAGAGCGAATGGCCACCCTTCACCTGACCTACTTTGGTCATGTTGTCAGAAGGGACCATTCTCTGGAGAAGGATGTCATGCTTGGTAAAGTGGAGGGTCAATGAAAGAGGGGAAGGTCCTCAATGAGATGGATGGACAAGGTGGCTGCAGCAATGGTCTCAGGTATAGTAGGGATAGTGAGCCTGGCACAGGACTGGGCAGTGTTTCGTTCTGTTGTACATAAGGTTGCTATGAGTCAGAGACAACTCGATGGCACATAACAACAACAACATGTGAGAAACAGAATAGGAAAAAAAAATTTTTTTTAAATAGGTAACGTTTACTGAACTATTATCATTACAATTTTATAGAGGTGAAAATGAGATACGGAGTAGTAAAATAGCCTGTCCAAATTTACACAGCTTGTAAATGGCTGAACTTGAATGCCGATTCTGATGATCTGAGCCTCTCTTTAAAAATTAAGGGTTAGCAAAGTATTCAGTGATAGATTTATAGTGAAACGTGAATTTTTTGGTATATTCAATGACATATAAAATAGAGATCAAAGGGAAATACTGAGTAAGAAAAGACAGTATTTAAAAAAATTACCAATGGGCTAATTATAGTCATGTTTATTGAAGGTCAGAGCTTTTGTACACGTTGGCTCATTTAATCCCACTAATAACACTGTGTACAGCCGCACCTTAGAAGCGAGAATCGCCAGACTTTGTCTCTCCTACTTGGTCATGTTATCAAGAGGGACCTTTCCTTGAAAAAGAGTAACAGGCTTGGTAAAGGAGGGTCAGAGAATAAGCGGGAGACTCTCAACGAGATGGATTGACACTGTGGCTGCAACAAAGGGCTCAAGCATGACAATGATTCTGAGGATGGCTCAGGACCGGGCAGTGTTTCTGTTGTATACAGGGTCGCTGAGTTGAAAACTACTGGACGGCACCTAACAACAATTGTGAGACAAGTACTATTAGTTCTATTTTTCCAGACTAAAAGAGTGATATATGGAACACATTCTCTGCCTTCGTTGAGTGAGTTTCACCTTAAGAGCTGGCTCTGGAGCAAGAAAAGATTGACAGAGACTTGGCGAGGAACAAAGCAAGGAAGGAATCTGAAAGTGAGAAATGCAGGAAGTTTTCCAATTTAGGAAGTGGCTGGTTCCAGCATTCAAATCTCTCCAGCCGGCCCGCCAAGACGTCACAAAGCCCGCCCCTCAGCCACAAAAACTCGCCCCCTTCCGGAGCCATTCTTTGAGCCCCAACACTTCCCTCCTTCCCTTTCATCCCCTCCTACCCAGACTAGCATCATTTCCTGTGCGCTGGGTGTTGATTGGTTCAGCGGTCGGAAGTGAGGGCGGGCGGTGGGGGCCGTTGCCGCAGTGACAGTGCTGGGGGAGTCCGAAGATGGCGGCGTCGCGTCGCTCTCAGCATCATCACCACCATCATCAACAACAGCTCCAGCCCGCCCCAGGGTCTTCGGCGCCGCCGCCGCCACCTCCTCCCCCACTCAGTCCCGGCCTGGCCCCAGGGACCACCCCAGCCTCTCCCTCGGCCAGTGGCCTGGCCCCCTTCGCCTCCCCGCGGCACG